TCTTATTTTTATATTATGATAATTAAAATTAAATTAATCTTTATGGAGGAAAAACCACAAATTAACCTCCACATATTAGGTCTAGCCATGTATCCCACTGTCCCTGTCCTTCTCTCTCTTACTAGCACTTATAGGAACAATATAAATAAAATATTTATAACTTTTCAAATCATATATTCAACTTATGATCTGTTCGAACTATTATATTTTTAGTGAAATCAATACATTAATATTCATATTGTCTATATTTAAATGCTAACATAAAAATTATATTCTAGACCCACATCCATCTTGAGGCCAACAATAAATTAAAAAAGATACTAAAATTCGTCATTGAAAATCAGAATATCCCACCTTAATTTTTAATAAAGCTGGTTGACCCATTACTTATATCCTGTTAGACCCTAACACTTTCTATCAAATTTATTAATTTCTCTCAACATGTATATGGGGGCTACTTACCTATATAATATGACCTTGGTGCTTTTTTATCAATCAATGATCAATTTAGAAGATAAATAAATAATCTTAAGATGATCATAGAGTCTAAATTATCTATATGATCTATGAAGTCACCAATAAATTAGAGGAAAACTTTAAATGATATCGTGTTTTACGTCATAATTTGTACCCCATCTAGCGTTAATTTTTTATAGACAACATAATAATGTGTATTTATTACATGACCTCTATTTTAATATTTCTTACTCAATTGAAGTGAGATAATTCAGAAGAGATGACTTTACCCCATGTCAGGTTGTAGGCTCAACCCACTTATGTTTTTAACCCAAATTGCAGAAATCAAATCATTTCAAATATGCTTCATAGAGTGGAATTCTCCAAATTTCTTTAAAAAATGTACATGAAAAGAATCAAAATTTAACAAAAATTATCTTTTTTAAAAAAAAAATTGGTTTGAAAACCCATTCTAAACAGAAACATTCAAACTTCTAGCAAAGCTAATGGAATGAAAATATGTAAAACTTCAAATACTATCTAGCAAAAAAATGACTTTTTGAGCAAATGTTTGGGGGTAAGATATCTATGCGAGAAGTCAAAATGACCAAAATTTTCTCATAGGAACTACATCTATTGTTTCGACATAATATTTTCTTATAAATTATGAAGTGTACAGTCTCAAGTAATTTTAGTTTAGAATTTATGTGCTGCAAGGGTAATCATAAGAAAATTATAACCAGCATTCAAATCACATTAAATAAGTTCAATTTTTATTTAGATAGAGAAACACCCACACATGGACATCCCTAACAAAATTTCATGCACATTAAATAAGGTGCACGCGCATGTGCGCGGGCTACCTTCCTAGTTTTAAGAAAAAATATAATTATGATCACTTGTCAATTTAGTTCCCCCTCGTAATTGTCACGCCCAGATATTCACGAACCAGAATTTCTAAGCTGAATGTGTATTAAACCCCTGTCCAGGACCAGCCAGGGTACACAAACGACAATTGTTGACATACAGATCCACGTTTTACAAAAATATAAAAGATTACAAATGCAGCGGAAAAAAGAAGAAAAAAACGAGCTAAGCCTGAAGACTTGACTTCTGCAGTGGGCGACTCCATTCGATAGGCATCCATGACGGTAGCGACGAAACCAACTTCTTTGTGACATCTTCAACTGAGAAGGACTTCAACTCTGGTGTGGGGGAAAAGAGAGCAAGACCGAGTGGCGAAGGCTGTCTTGGGAATATCCTCTTCCCGAATTCTCAACTGATGATAGCCTGATCGCAGGTCTATATTGGAAAACACCTTAGCTCCTTTTAGCTGATCAAACAGATCATCAATTCTTGGCAACGGATATTTGTTCTTGATTGTGACCTCATTAAGGGCGCGATAATCAACGCACATCCTCTTGGTCTTGTCTTTCTTTTCCACAAAGATAACCGGAGCACCCCAAGGTGAAGTACTCGGTCGGATGTACCCTTTCTGCAGCTGTTCGTCAACCTGCTTTTTGACTTCTGCTAGCTCATTAGCTGCCATTCTGTACGGCCTCTTGTAGATTGGAGCAGTTCCGGGTGCCAGATCAATCTGGAACTCGATTTCTCTCTTCGGTGGCATTGTAGTGAGGCCTTCTGGGAACACCTCAGGATACTCTTGTACTATAGGTATATCCTCCAACTTCTTGGGATTTTTTTCCGCTATTTCTGTCTGATCCTCAATAACAGCCTGATTCAGACTCGCTACGGACTTCTGTGACACTGGAGAACGGAAGGTGATCTTCTCCCCTTTGTCGTTGCTTAGGGTGATAGTGCGACTTGCGCAGTCGATCACTCCCTTGTGTCTGGTCAACCAATCCATTCCGAGAATGACATCTAGGTCTTTGGATTCGAGAAGGATGAGGTTGGATAGAAACCGTGACCTCTTGATCTCTATAGTCACTGAGGGGCAGTAGTGTGCTGTCCTCATGTCATTTCCAGGGGTATGAACCTGCATCAGTATTTTAAGTTCCACTACCGATAATCCATGTGCCCCAGCAAATCTCTTGGATATAAAAGAATGCGAGGCACCAGAATCAAAGAGAACTGTTGCTGGATATGAGTTCACCGGAAACGTGCCCAGCACGACCTCTGGTGATGCCTGTGCTTTCTCTGCAGACGCATGATTGACGCGGGCCTGGACGAACCTAGGTCCAACGCGCTTTAGCTTCGGACACTTGCCAGCAAAGTGGCCGTGCTTGCCACAGTTGAAGCAGGGTCTTGGCTTTCCTGCAGACTCCTTCTTGAGCTGTTCTGACTGAGCTGACATAGCTGGCGGATCTGACTGAGCTGGTGCCATTAATGGGGGTGAAGTCGAGTTGTGGTTATGCTGCTTACTGTTGTTGTGACTGCCACCGTTGTAGTCGTTGTTGAAGTTACTCGGGTGGTAAGGATGGTGCTGACGGATGATCAGGGTGGAAGGCTCACCTAGCTGTCCCGTCATGAAGCGAGGCTTCTAATTGTTCCCCTGAGGAAAGCTGATCTGAGCTACCTTTCTATTTCGGTCCATTTTGTTGCGTTGCTCTTCCTGACGGATAGCCTTGTCCACGAGCTTCTCAAAGTCATCATAGACTCCGGAGATCAGCTGGTTGGTCAATTTATCATCGAGACCAAACAAAAACTTCTCCTGCTTCTCGGCATCGGTGCGCACATCCTTAGGAGCGTAGCGCGCAAGGCGGTTGAACTCATGCAAGTACTCTGTAACTATCCTGGTTTCTTGATGCAGTGCGCGGAACTCTCTTTTCTTTTGTGCCATAATCCCCTCAGGAATTTGTGCCTTCCTGAAGCTTTGACAAAACTCTGCCCAAGTAACCTCCGTTGAATCTGGACGGGTCACCACGTAGTTATCCCACCAAGCAGAAGCGGGACCTTGCAACTGATGTGTAGCAAAAGCAACCTTCTCTTGGTCATTGCATTGCAGAAGGTTCAGCTTCTTCTCAATCGCACGGAGCCAGTCGTTGGCCTACATTGGGTTGGTGGTGCTTGAGAAAGTGGGTGGCTGGATATGATGAAAGTCTAACAGTTTGGACAGGTGTGATGATGGAGGACCAGACTGCTGGTTCTGCTGCGCCTGCTGCAACATCTGATGGTAATGTTGCTGCATCTGTTGTATCATCATTGTCATCATCTGAGTGACCGTTGGGTTCTCGGGCGGTGGAGATGAACTGCTGTCAGATGCACCACTGATATGAGCTCCATCGGTCTGCTCTTCGCTGCCCCTAGCGTCATTGGAGGCACGGGGATCATTCCCTGTCTTCACCATCTGGACGAGGATAGGTAGAAATAAGAGAAAGGAAGAAAACAGATGGCTTGGAAACTAATCTTTCTTATAGATTTAAGTGCAATTAATTTAATCTTGATTAAAAAACTAAAAAGAAAGCAAACAACTCCTAATTAAGGCAGTCATACCACTAACACATGATATCGACCGCCGACTAACCCACAAGCAACAAACCTAAACACAGAAACTAGCAAGCAGCCAAAACTAAGAAAATGTTAAGGATAAAGGCGGCGACTCTGAAGCTTGGAGCAGCGCTTGCGATCAGAGAACAGGTCTGACATCTAAAGAGGACAGAGGGATAGGAACCAACACATGCTCAAAACCAAATTAAATAAAGCAACAAATGACTCAAATAACTCGCCGAGCATGATGATTTTTATGCGTGGAACATTTTTCATGAACCCAGACAAAGATACTAATGCAACTGACTAAACGATAAATTAATGCACAAAATAGATGCGTAGCTATAATATACACATAAAAATGCCCATCGAATCTAGACACGACTTAGTGCATATCACCTAACAAATTCCCGACTGAAGGCCAAATAAATTCCAAATAAAGTTTTGCTAGAACCCTAGACTGCCTCTAGCCGAGAAATACGATTAAATAGCGATCAAGATTTTTCCCACAAATCAAAAGAGCAAACCCCAAAATTATACCGAAACAAATCCAAGTGCAAAAGGCATGTGCAAATGAAAAGGTTTAAGAGGACTCTTAGGGTTTCCAGTTGGCTTGTCCTACGGTCAAGGTCGGCTCTGATACCAACTAAGAATTTCTAAGCTGAATGTGTATTAAACCCCTGTCCAGGACCAGCCAGGGTACACAAACGACAATTATTGACATACAGATCCACGTCTTACAAAAATATAAAAGATTACAAATGCAGCGGAAAAAAGAGGAAAAAAACGAGCTAAGCCTGAAGACTTGACTTCTACAGTGGGCGACTCCATTCCACAGGCATCCTTGACGGTAGCGACGAAACCAACTTCTTTGTGACATCTTCAACTGAGAAGGACTTCAACTCTAGTGTGGGGGAAAAGAGAGCAAGACCGAGTGGCGAAGGCTGTCTTGGGAATATCCTCTTCCCGAATTCTCAACTGATGATAGCCTGATCGCAGGTCTATATTGGAAAACACCTTAGCTCCTTTTAGCTGATCAAACAGATCATCAATTCTTGGCAACGGATATTTGTTCTTGATTGTGACCTCATTAAGGGCGCGATAATCAACGCACATCCTCTTGGTCTTGTCTTTCTTTTCCACAAAGATAACCGGAGCACCCCAAGGTGAAGTACTCGGTCGGATGTACCCTTTCTGCAGCTGTTCGTCAACCTGCTTTTTGACTTTTGCTAGCTCATTAGCTGCCATTCTGTACGGCCTCTTGTAGATTGGAGCAGTTCCGGGTGCCAGATCAATCTGGAACTCGATTTCTCTCTTCGGTGGCATTGTAGTGAGGTCTTCTGGGAACACCTCAGGATACTCTTGTACTATAGGTATATCCTCCAACTTCTTGGGATTCCACTAAAATTATTTCCAAGGCTCTGAAAATTCCACTAAAATTCCTGTTAGCATATTTTGACATGTAGAATCCAAGAAAAATTCCACATGCCGATTCCAAGAAAAATTCTCTCTTGCCTTTAAACAAATAATTTCTTGCGACAATTTATTAATTAAATTTTTGCTAGGGAGAAGAACTTCAGGGCGTGACAGTATTCAAATCCTAGTTTCGCCACTGCAATCACGGATGGAGGGAGTATGTTTTATATGGAACAGTGGCATGTCAAACAATACCTCGTATACATTTATGGGAAAATAATATTTCTTCTTGTGAATTCTACACTAGGATATCTTTTATTATCAGAGTTTTACATTGGACTAGGGACCAACAATATTTTCTCTTCTACAAGTTTTATATTGAACATTTGAATTCGGTATAATATATATATATATATATATATATATATATATATATATATATATATATATATATATATATATATATATATATATATATATATATATATAATATTATACCGAATTCATGTTCTGATCTCTGAACCTTTCTCATGCAGGCTGCAAGGTACTTTAACAGCAAAATATGCCCTTATTCAAGTGATAAAATGACCTGCGCAAAAACTGCGACATCCTCTGTTGATTGCAATCACGGGAAGGTTGCATTTGCAAATCCGTTTGGAGGGGCCAAGCAAACTTACTCGTCCAGTACAACCACGAAGTGCCCACATTGTGTGGAATCCCGTAATGCCGAGTAAGTATAAAGTAGTTAATTGTAAAACCTTGGACACGCTCTCCATGCTTTTCTATATATGTTATTGTATTGTGCTTCCTCAGTACTCCATCCGTAAATCCGTTCTAAATGTTTTTTTTAATTTTTTTTAAAAAAATGAGAATTTGGTCTTTCAAATAATCTAATTTGAAATTCGTTACTATGGGGAACTCAGTACCTTGGGGTATAACTCAGTTCATTGCAACAACTAGGTTACATACCCTTTTGCATCTAAATAAAATATTTTTTGTATATTAATCTGGATATTATAGTTGTCTAGACTCATGTACAAAATTTACTTTTTTTTTGGGGATATCTCGTTTCTTGGCTATCTCCAGTTGAAATGGGCCTACTATTAATTTGATAATTTATCTTGGGAGATCGATGCTCTTTCAATTGTGTCATTTAATTTCCCTAAATAATTTTTATTAGTGCAGAGCTATGAAGGTGTAGATGTTACTAGAGCGTAATGGAAAGACTAATTTATTTTGTCATGTATTTTTGTTTCTGCAGGATAGCTGCAGCCATCCGAGCCAAATCTATCAAGGCTTCGAAGCTGGCACATTTCGCTTTAACTGTTACGATGTCAGTAGCAGCTTATATGGTCACTCTAAAAATCATTGCCAAACCTCAAAAAGAAAAAAAACATTGCCAAACCTGCCGATGCTGCAAATCCTGAAATGAAGGTTCTATTTTCCATGCAGCCACGATATTTCTTTTTTTTTTTTTGGTAAGGATGACTCCCCATAAGGGAATTGGGACTCTGTAATAAGGTGGTCTCTGGATATGCTTTGTTTCATTACTAATAACTGAGCGGTGCATGCGTGTATACCTAATAAGTGACTCTGTAATAAGGTGGTGTTTGGCAGCTATGATTTTTTTTAAGAAAAAAATCATACTCCTCTGTCCAAAGAGACTGCATATTATAAGCTCTGCAGTAAAAAAGTTTAGTTATATTTTGTGTACGTCCGATGTGGCTGCATATTATGAATCTCTTTTGGTCACCCCTACAAGAGAATTACAAAAGTCAGTACTCCCTCGTCCCTCCGTCCTAAAATATAAAAACTTTTAGCCTCTATAATTTGTTCCTAAATATAATAACATCTTCACCAACATATCCTTCTCAACCAATCACAACCCTCCACCATTCAATTTCCCTACCTTCACTTCTCAACCAATCACAATCTTCCACTATTTAATTCTACCTACTTTGTTAATAACCGTGTCTAGCTATAAAACTCATTATATTCAGCATTCAGAGTTATCGTGGAACACATGATTCTGAAAATGCACTGTCACAAAATATGCATGAATACAACGTCTTTTTTTAAGGAAAGGTAAAAGGACCTTGATATCGCCTGGGAGGTGTGAACAGGCGTTCCTAAAAAAATTATCACAACTTCATAATATATTAGAATGATGAGAACTTCCGGTTCAACTCGGAACTTCTGGTATGGGATTGAAAGTTTCAGTTTCAACCGAAAATTCAGCGGATAACGAAACAACACACTAGCTATGAACTTGTAGCTCAAACAAATAAAATGTATATGAATCAAAAGGTGACAAACAAGAGATTGAAGCAAGATATAAGGTCATCAACTATATTAATTAAGAATACAAGTGATTGGATAAAAAAAAACTCAAGCACAATATGAGAGATGACAAGAATAAGCAAAGCAAGAAAGGAGACACATTGATATGTTTCTCGAAGTTCAGATCCACGGATCCTACATCTCCGTTGAGGGGCCACAAAGGCTAGGTTTATTTTAACCCTTTCCTCACGAGGTTGTGCAAATGCACTCCTTGATTTCACAATTGATTTCTTCCCTTACAGAGGCGAAATCAAAGCCTTCGCAAACTTTTCGAGGCACACCACAATCTTGGGCGCTCACTGGCAACACCTAGCCGTTTAGGAGACCTTAGTCCCCAAGAGTAACTAACACAACTGAAGATTTGTTTGCTATGAACTCAAGTGCTCAAAGTATGGAGTGAAACTCGCTAGCTCTTAACTTCTCACTCTCTCAATCCAACTCTCTCCCCTTCTCAAATCCCTCTTACAAAGAGGCACCACAAAGGTAGGGAAATGGGAAAAAGCTATTTGGCTTTAGATGTGTCTAATATTGCCCCAGAACAGCAGCCACTTAAAGGGCGGAAGAGTTTACATACCCAAGCCTCTCAAAACTAGCCGTTGGAGGCCAAGACTGTAATTTTCGGAATTTCCAAAATGCATTTTCGGACAAGTGCAAAAAATCAACAGAAGCCTATCTCAGTTTCGCAGCCATTTTCAGAATTTCCGAAAAGCACAGGATAAAACGACCATAAGTTTTCGCTCGGGAGTCCGTTTTTGATGATCTTGAACTCTATGAAAAGCTCACTTAGAGGACTACCTAACTCAACCAAAAACAAAGTTAAAACCACTCAAAGGATATGTTAAAGCTTGAGTGTCTCTCAAGGTAGCACTATGATTGGTCACTTTGAGCACCGAAACATACACAAACACATCGACGCTGCATCCCTCTTGATAGTACGATATTACTATACTCAAATTTATATAGGAAGAGAATTATACCAATTGGAATGCCTTCTTTTCATCTTCATTCCTTTGTCTTAAGGAACAGCAACGCCAAAACCGTTTCACCATATATTCTTCAAATAATTGATGCGGTTACTTGTAGCTTCAAATGGTCTCGCACGGTCCATCATGACAAAGCTGTCACTCGCCATTCACCACCGGATTTGGCTCTTCGGCGCCAAGCCCCTTGCTTGCCCTTCACTGTCACATGGTCCATCGCGACCGAGCATCAATCATTTGAAGATCGTCTTGCCATAATAGCCACTTCGTATTCCGCATCTTCAATATCTCCACTGTCATTCTTAGTATTTTAGCTGTAATGATATCGATTGAGCATCAACACCTTTTCAATCCTTGGGACCAATGTTTCTCATTCAACTCAATGAAATTATTGGTCTCAATGATCTGGTTGTCAACCTCTACATGTTGATCAACCAATCGCGCATATAAAAGGAAGTGGATGAGTATTAACCAATATCACAAGTGTCATGTACTCAAATGTAAAGATCCCAATTAAATGCAAGTGAAAAACTTGGATCAAATATGTCACGCCCAGAAATTCACTAGTAATTTCCAAACTAATTTGTGCATAAAATCCTCGTCCAGGAATCAGCCGAGGTACACAAACTGACAATTTAATATACAAATCCATCATAATAATAATGTTACATACTTACAAAAGAAAAGGAAAATAGCAGCGGAATTAACGGTCTAGCGATGGCTTCAGCTCCACTCCCACAGGCAGCTCAACTGGAGTATAAGCCAAACATCTTCTCCTTCTGGATCCTTTTTCTTCAACTGAGGTTTGATGATTATTGCAAGAATGAGCATATGACATACTCAACAAGCCACACAGCAAATATGCAAATGCACAAGGATACCAAAGGATGGCATAATATAGGTTCATTTGCGAAAGCAGCATTAAGCAAACATTTAGAAGTAAATCAGTAGAGTAATTAATCATCAATTTTAATCGACACTGAACAGCACCCCAATGCTGCACAGGCCCAACCAAACCTGAACAGCCAACCCCGGTCGTACAGATCAAACCTCCAAACCAGGAATTATCCATTCCAAACCAGGAGTCAAATTAATTATCACATTATTAACATTAATGAGTAATGTGGGACTAATCACGAAAAACATTGCTCAACTCACCCATAACCGCGGACACGGCTATTCGAATAGTTTTACTTTGATCAGAGGTGTACCACTGTACCCACAAGACGCAATCCCACAACATGTCACCATGCGCCTTAGCACCACCACGGTACCTCGGAAAGGAACTGTGACAATACCCCTCGCACAACACAACTCACCACAGTGCACCGTTCCTGGATCATAATCTCCCCCTCAAAACCAAAGGCAATGGACTCCCCAGCGACCCCCATGGACTTCTCGCCGCTTCACAGTCTGGTGCCCCGTAATGAATCATGCTATACAAAAGGTAAAGCCGTTGCTCACACTGGCTTGTGGTTGGCACGGTAAATGTTTCACAACAGTAGCTCGCGAACCGGTCCTTAATTGTCATGAGCACGACCTTCAAAACCATGTGCTCACAACCCACCTTAATCCAGTTTTAATTACCAATTAATTTACATAACATAACACGATTAACCATCGTGAGCTACCATTAAATATAACCGTAATTAATAATAATATAATATGATTTATATTTAATCCCCTTTAATTAGCTAATGTTTAAGCATGACTAAGCAAACATACATATGGCATTTAGCTGAACCAATCCAATATATAAGGTCCAAGCTAATCAAATTATAACCCATAGGAAAATAAAGTCATGTTCGGCCATTATTTAATTGGGAAAGGCTCATCACCCGATGACATTCGAAAATAATGCATAAGTTGAAATAAATCATTAGCTTTAAACGGGTTCAACATGTTCAAAGGGTTGTTTGGGATCTGGGTGACTTGCCTTGAGCTTCCGCAAACACTTCCGAACCTTCCTCAACGAAAACGCTCTCCTCCGGAACGACGGAAACTAAAGCAAATGAACAAAATCAACAAAACAGTACAAAAACAATCATAAACAGTACATGTGGATATTTTTAACATGTAGATCTTGATTTTAGAAAAACTTAGCAACTTGAACCACTCGAATCGGAGCTACGATGAATTAGTTATGAATTTCCGAAGTTTTAAACTATTTGCATCTATTAAAAAAACTAAAAAGAAAAGGTTATGACGTCATGCTGACGTCATCAATGTCGACTCGTCATCGGCGACGACCTCGCCGGCGCTAGGGGACTCGGCCGGACTTTTGGAGGGCACCTACGCGTAGAGGAGAACAACGCGATCTCACCGGTACTAACCAATGCGACGAACGACCACGGATGGCGACCGGCGACGAGCTTGTGCGGCGGCGGCGGTTCGGTGGACGGCGGCGGCGGCTCTCCGGCGACCGGTGGCGACGGCGAAGGGCGGCGGAGCTTCCCCTCTTCCACGCGCACCCGACGGCGGCGTGAGGAGGCGGCGGCGACGGCTAAAACGACGGCGCGAGGCGGCTGTTCGCCGGCCGGCGACGGCGGCGGTTTGGGTGGCGCGGCGGCGGCACTACGAGGCACGAGAGAGCTCGGGAGATGGGGCAAACGAAAGAGGGCGACTAGGGGATGCTATTTATAGGCTTGGATTGAAGAGATCGGACTCCAACCGAGAGGATTTGAGCCGGAAAAACCGAGGGTTAGTTGGAGAGATAAACTCAAAAACGAATTCGATTCCAGGCACAGGACGGCTGGCTCAGGCTTCTGTCCAAGCTTGAAGATGAACAGTGCCCAGGGAAGCAAACTAGACTTTCGGCTGGGCTTCTACTTCCAAGGACTGATTAAAGGAGGGACACAAAGCAGACTTCGGGAAAGAGAGGGAAAGGACTGCAAGCTGAGAGGAGACTAGGCCGAGAGTGAGAGGACTTTCCCTAATTCGGCCCGAAAAGGAAAAGGTGAATTTTAATTACTTTTCCAATTAAATTAATCACTGAAATGATCTTTGAATTGTTAAAAATACTTCCAATGCTCAAATAATTTCAAGAAAAATCCTGAAAATACTTGGACACTCAAAGTACTTAACAAAATTATAATCAGACCATTTAATGATTAATTTAATATGTGGATAATTACTGAATTGTTCTTTGTATGATTAAAATTAAGAGTTGAGCTCCAAAAAATCCGAGAAAATTCCAGAGAGTATAATTAACCATGGAGAATTTAATAAAAATTAAATACATCCATGCTTTATATTTAGGAAATTTTATTTTCCACAATTAACTTCACTTGTAAATTAATGAACATTTAATATAAATTCTAATAATAATTTATTAAATAATTTATAAATCCTAAGACGAAAATCAGGATGTGACAAAATACATGCATAACTAAGGTATAGGATTTACCCCCCTAAATGTATGCATACAATTTTTTTGTGTGTGAAGAAAAAGTATGCATAACTAGAGATAAAACATCGTGAGCTTACCCTATACAAGAATAGAAGGTATTTATCATATGTAGACATTAAGGTAGAAGCATACCTTCATCATCTCCATATTCTCAATGTGAAGAGACTAAACAAGATATGGCTCAACAAAACATTAGTCTCAAATCCATATGTCAATCACATGAAAATATTATATATGAATATATCAATATGTGCATAGAGAGAAAGATGTGATTTAGGTCAATGCATTTCATCCTTGTGATTTAGGTCCACGAACAATTAACATTTCTATTTCAACTCATATGAAGTCCGGGAATCACCTATCACAAACTTCACTTTCATATCCACATGACACTAGGCAAAGAATGCTTATAAAAAAATTAGTCTCATATAATTGGATTTATCATTAATCACCAAAACCAAATTAATAGCACTTGAACTTTCAAAAGGGAAGAGGTTTTGCCTTACATATTGATAGAGCAGAGTTGAGGGCTGAGCCTCAGAAAAAAAATATGTACAGGACATGGTCAAAGAGAGCTAATGTTGAAAAAACCTTGAATCTTATGGCTTCATTCATAGAGATAACTAGAAAGAACCTTGAATCCATAATAGAGTTGTTGAAAGACTCACACATGTTGTTATCAGCGGAGTCACAATTTGACACTAGCTGGAAGAATGCCCTGCTCCAATGCTCAGGTGTGGTGGTCATCATGTCCTTGGCTCCTTGAGGGGTGTCTTGTGCTAGCTTTGCTCTATTATAGTTGAAAAGCTCCCTACAAGATGACTTTGCACAGTTTTAGATTTTTTTCTGAAGCTTCTGGTCAGTGTCCTTTTTTCTCCAGTTTGCATATATTTGCCTTGCACACATCCTATGTTCTACTCTAGTGATAAGCTCAGCCACTGCCTTTATGAGTCCCTACAAGACAGGTAATTCAAAATATTTATTACAACTTAGGACCCATTGCACATTTTGTTAAAAGATAAATAGTTAAAAAGCATACCTTTTACTGGTCAGAAATTATCACCCATCCTTCACCTCCATCATTTATATTGAGATCTTTTTTAGCTACCCAAGAAACCAATACCATGAATCATATATTTCTTTCTCCACTGATGCCCATGCAATGGGATACATCTAATTATTAGCATCTCTTCCAATAGCACATATTAGCTCGCCATTACAAGCACCCTTGAAGAAACAACCATCTAGCCCAATTACTCTCCTACAACCAGCAAGAAACCCTTTTCTGCAAGCATCAAAGCATACATAAAACCTCTCAAATACTTTCTTGTCAAGTATATCTGGATTAAGGGTCACAACTACAATACTCCCAGGGTTGCTCCTTAACAACTCCAATTGATAATCATACACTCTTGAGACTCTCCCCTAGTTTTATCCAATGCTTCTTGTAGCACTAAGGCTTTGGCCCGCTTGCACTTTGAAATGGGCACATCAACAAGCATGTCCTTTAGAACTGACTTCTTAATATGTTCCACTTTCCATGTCGGATTATCCTTGATAACATCAAAATATTTATTTACTATGATCCTGGATGTTTTTTTTTGAAGTGAAAGCGGCAAAAGATTTGCCGGATATATTTAGGAGATTAGAAAGCCAAGTTTACAAAGTTGAGATTACAAAATATTCTTAAAACAACCAACTCTAGCAAGGAGCCAGATATATTTAGGAGATTAGAAAGCCAAGTTTACAAAGTTGAGATTACAAAATATTCTTAAAACAACCAACTCTAGCAATGAGTACAGGACTTTCTCCCTTCATGGAGGTTTGAAAACCATATCCTGCTCCTGTATGTCGTCGAGGATGAGTGATATTGTTCTTTGTAGACTTGGGGCTTGGGAATTGATTTTTTTTTCCGTTTTGTTGCAACCAAACATGCCACCATGTCTTTAACAGGATTCCGATCCTTGACCTGGTTTGGCTTTTAAGGCCAGTGGACCCTAGAGAACACATCCACTGTTAGTGGTGGAAATGTTAGGATTGGGAATAATCCCTTTTTCAGCGGCAATTCTTGCCCATACCTGCTTGATGAAGTTGCATTGGCAAAACAGATGGTCTGTATCTTCAAAAGCTTCTCTGCATAAAGTACAGATCCAGTCGCATTCCCAGTGTCTAATTAGCAGGTTTTCTGCTGTAAGAGCCTTTTGATGAAGAATGAGCCTTCCAATTTAGGTTGAAAATATGATCAATCACCGAACCCATGAATTGGAAGCGGCAGGCGCTTTTAACCGAGAAGATTCATGAGGCATTTCTTGTCCAAGATATTTCATCATGATGTTGATCAGAAAGAGTTATTTGATTGAGGAGGGATCCCAATTGCACTAATTCATGGATGGTTTCTATATTAGTGATCTGTCTAAAAGAATGTAGCCAGGTGTTGTCTATCATTTATGTTTCCACCTTCCTATTCTTTATTTTTGCCAATTTGAAGAGGTTGGGAGCAAGATCTTTCGGGCACAAACCTGGTAACCAATTGTCTTTCCAAAAAAGAGTTTTTTTTGCCATCTCCTACTGTGATTTTTGTGCATGCCTGGAAGAGTTGTACATCTCGCATATTGCAAGGCATCTCCATCAGCTCCCAAGGTCTGCTTGTATCAAACAGCCACAACCATCGTAGCCTAAGCGTAGATGTGAATTTTTCCATTTCGAGAATTCCCAGCCCTCCCATGATGATCCTGGATGTGACTAGCTTGTTATCTCTCCTAGGTGGACAACAATGCTCATTATTAAAAGTGGCCACTTGGAACCATTTAGACCTACTTGTCTTTGACACATATATTAGCCATTTACATCCTGGTCAATAGCAGGTTGCCCTAACCTTGTCCCTTTCATCCTTTGGGAATAGAATATGTCTGTGTGTTGTCAGCCCGTACTTCACTAGTGCCTTCTTTAACTGCCTACTTGATCTAAATGCCATGCTAAGAGAGAACACAGGAAATGATGCCTTTTTTGTTAAACCTATTATTAGTGCTCTTCCATCTAATTGTTTCTCCTTCACTATTCTCCTCATAGGAGTAGTCATCACTTGAGTTATAATACAGACTGCCATCATCTTCTAAGTTGATATTTTCAGGCACCAGTGCATCATCAAGTATCTCTACAGCCTGGCTACTATGAACTCCTAGCTTCCTTGCCCTAATGTTTCTCTTGATTTTCTTTGCAAATTTCCTAAGTTGTTCAGCTTCTTCATCATCTCCAGAGCTATCTTGCTCTATAGGCTGCCTATAATCAGAGTCTGAACTATCTTATTTTCAGGTCATCTATATCTTCAGGCACTAGTGCATCTGAACCTGAATCTTCAGGCTTCTCTAGAATTTGAGATGTTGCTCTTCTTGGTTTCAATCTTCCCTTCTTTTTATCTTTACATAGAACAATAGTAGGAAGTAGCTCTGCCTTTGATTCTGATTTTGCTTCATCATCAGCTTCTGCAATGCCATAGCCCCAGTCAGCAATCTAATTATCATCTTGCCCCTCATCAGTTGCTACATGCTCAATATAAATGTCTGCAACCTGACCATTATTAGACGTATGATTTTCCATTTCTATGCAAGCACTGTCATCAAGCAAAAACCTTAGCCCATCTGACAACTGCTTTTCAGGATATAGCCAATGCAAGTGTAATAAATCACTAACTAGCATGTGGTCACCGAGGAAACCTATAATCTCAGGTAAAGATATCTTGTCGAGCTCTATGTATGACAATGCGGTACGCTCTGTCACATAATGCAATTGCCCCCTAGAAAACATAAATTCCCCACCATAGTGAAACCTGACCGGAAGAAAATCCGATGGATCCATTCTTGCAAAAATAAGAAACAAAAATAATCCTAACTCTTGATGATATTAAATGACAACAACTAGCAAGATCATACGCTATATATTATCTGAGGCTTCTAGCCTCGGTTAGTCTTAAAAAAACCAAAGCAAGATCTTACACCCATAGAGCAAATTTATGTGTCCTTTGGTACCAACGTATGAGCTAATTTTTGTGTTCATAAGCCCTAAATCCTAAAATCATCAAGACGATAAAATTACCGAGAAATTCACAGAGAGTGATGAGAATTTTACTGCCTACAACATAGCACTATCAAAATTTCACAGAAAAAATACATAACCCACCACTAAAAGACCTTGTAGAATTAGCCCTAATCCTTGAAGAGATAACCTGATTGGGAAAAAAAACATAGAAACAGGTTGTGGAGACTCACCTTTACCTCACCCTGCAATCCAATCAAATGGATCTACTCCCTGTCATCAGCAGGTTGTTCGCCTAGGAGAGAGAGAGAGAGAGGAGGTTCCAAGGAGAACGAGGAGAGAACCGCTCATATTTTTATTCACCCCAT